CGGCCCAGGACATTAAGATGAACCAAATCTTACAAGTCTTTCAGTTGTCCAACATTCATTCCCCAGCCACCAACTGCTCCTTATACACCTTTGACCTCTCAGATACTCAACCCTACATAACCGGCCAATGCAATAGACCTTGACGATTTTATTTTGTTGTGTTTCTTTTAAATTCAGATTTTATAAATTTTCTCCGGCTTGTACGTACATTTTCATATATATATATAAATATATATATATATATATATTATTAAAAATGATTTTTTATATTTTTATCAATCATTGTTTTTTATTTAATTATAATAATTTAAATAAATTATGTAATTAAAAATAAATTGTTAAAATATATAAATAAATAAAAAATATTTGCGCGCCGAAATAACTTCGTCACACAAAATTAAAAGTAAGGAAGATCTTCATTACGCAAGACCATGAATGACAATAGCTTATAATTTAATAATATTCAAATTACTATAAAATAAAGTATGATAGGCGAAACTTCCTTGCATCAATGTTTGCACAACAAAAGCTCTGGTCGTGCAAAGTCCTATGTAACAATTTGTTCTTATCGCAATTTCATCAAGGCGATGACATGTTGTCATGGTTTTAACCCTTGCGACATGAATGCCTTTGTAGCTTCAAATTTAGTGCAATGAAGTGTTCTTTTGTCTCAAAAATGTTCTTGCTCGACACATTTGTATGTCTCCGTCGCACAACCCTATCTTCACAAGTTTTGTGCAACTTATTTCGTCGCCCAGTTTGTATAATTTGTGGGTGGACTAGAATCAATGAATAACTAGGTATCAGGGATTCATGAAGCCCTTAAAAAATTTATGTTTATACGTGACATCTTTGACACAAAAATTTAGTATTGAATTGAAATTTTAGATTTAGATTTAAAAATTAGAAAAAACCATTGCAAAGAGTTGCAGGAATCGGAATCAGGCATTCTCATTGAACTATTTGCTAACAGTCAAGAATCGGAATGAAAATAAAGGTGAATCACGTTACAACTGTTCACTACCGTCAAGGGTCGGAAGCAAAACCAATTTGATTACAAAAAGGCCCTTGGACAAATTTTCTTTTCTATTCAACTACTTCCTTAATTTTTAAAAAGATGAAATTTGTGGCATCTATTTATAATTAAGTAATATTACACTTACCACATATTTATATCATCTTTGTAATAGATGTAGGATCCACCAACACATGTAGACTCTATCTCTATTAAAAATATGATACAAATATATGGTAAGAGTAACATTTTTCTTTATAATTTCATATGAAAACAATTGGGTTTATATATCCAAGGTTTGTACAAGTTAGCTCCGATATGATTGTTGGCCTCAGTTTACCAACTTATGTTTACTTAGGCAAACAATATCATATGCTGTTCAGTTTACATATGTTGCCCTGTCCCTTAATTTTTCTCGTTAGCCACATCCTATGCCAAAAATTCCTTAATTAAACCGTTGCTGCTACTAAAGGTCGGCATCGGCCGAGTCGTTTCGGGTTGAGCTCTAGGATCGTTGGTCAGTCCAATAACATGCATAACGAAGGTTCTAGAAGACGTTAGGCGTTAGTCGGACGACAGATTTAGGTCTAGCGCCTAGATGGATAAGCGGGGCCTAGGCGGGGGTTTAAGCCAACTAGACGGATTTAAGTACATTCATTATATGTTGTGAAAATAAGTGTCTGTATACTTCAAAACACATAATTGTATATATAAATTACAAAATAAAATGACATATAGATCATAAAGTACTAGAACATATTGAAAACATGGGGAACAAACATATAATTGTCGATGCAACTTTCCGCCATTTTCAGTCTTGACGAAAATGCATCTGCAAAACAATCAACACTTTTGATCAAGGACCTAAGCCTCACGCGCCAACGAGGTGGGGGGGGGGTGGTTAGGTCAATGGATCTTCAATGTCTAAGTTAGTTTCTCTAAAAAGAGTAAGTGTTTAGGGCTTTTAGGGGTAACAAAAGCTTACCAAAGTTTGGTATAGATGGAGGTATATATAGGGTAGTGGCCCCATGATGTTAGAGTTTTATCCTACACATGACAACATCCTGTTGCCCAATGTTTATGGAGAGAATATTCTCAAGATATTAAAATAGGAAATAATATCTTGAAATAATGGTGTAAATATCCCTAATTGATTTAAATAGAGATTATTTACTTGAATGAAGTCAATTTTCAATTGGAAATGTATTAAATATGGGATTTGGGTAATTAATCATTATCTTAATGCTTTGACATTTCCTTACTATGGGCAAATGAGCTGTGGACAGTCGTATTCAGCTGTATGGACCTTTAGGGGTGCTAAGTTGCTCACGAGAGTATTTGAGAAGTCTGCCCATTTAATAAGGGCAATCTTGTATTTCTTGAGCAAAAGTTCACATGTCACCTCCAGAATTTTTGGGATTATTTTAGAATCGACAATAATAAGTATCTATCTAACTATTCAATGAGTCTCTTACATTTTATTGAAAAAAAAAAATACAAAACGAAAGTAATCGATTTTATGTCTAAGTCAAAGTCACGACCAAAGCGGATTTAAACGGGCTAGACGAATGTATAAACGGATCTAGACATACTTTCTTAATTTTTTAAATGTTTAAGAACGAATCGGAACAGCCGCTTAGGCGTTTGACGAGAATTCTTAGAACAATGCCCGTAACCCACCCAAACAAATGAACAAGCCGATCCATTATCTGACAGGTCGGTTTTAATGATTAAGAAGCCTGATACATTTCTCTCATTTTTGCTTAGTAACTTCATTGTTCGCCAAAAACTCATCACCCATAAATACGCACAAAAAAAGAGGTAAAATCACGTTTCAATAATTAGCGAGATCAATTTGAAAAACATATTGACTTCTGATGATGCATGATGCAGATACAGAAAAGTGGGATCTGAAGGTGAAGAACGGGATTCCGCTCAAATAGGGGAGAATAAAATGATCCAGAAAAGTAAATCTTTCCTATCAAAAATTTTAAAAAATAATAAAAAATAAATCTTGAAGCGGTGGAGGCTGGAGCAAGCAATCAATGGAAGGGATTTGGTGAAGAATTAAAAATAAATAAATCTTGAAGCGGTGGACGCTGGACAGGCAATTATTTGAGGATTTGGTGAAACAAATAAATATTGAGCGGGGGGAGGCTGGAGCAAGCAATTAATAGAAAGAATTTGGTTAAACTTAACAATTTTTTGCACGACTTATTAACTTGACATGAAAAATTATGAAAAATAATGAATTTTGAGTCAACATATTAACTAATCACATCGTTATCGATTCACCTGTTAAGAACTCGTTACAAATTTATTTGCTGGTAAACCGAAAAAATAAGCTTACTAGAATAGCGATAGAACTTAGTCTCACATAAGGTAGATCAAATCCTTACTGTTGGCCGACAATGGTGAACGTTCAACACCGGTTAACAACGGTACACAACGATTGACGGTCATGAATGGTCAACTTTGATCGCTCATTATAAATTTTTAAATAATTTGATTTTTCTTACAAAATACCAAAACACATTAAAAAATCATAATAATGAATTTACAAAAAGGAAAAATGGGAAATAATATGCAAATGCTCTTGATCGCCTCCTCTACTTTTTGACAGTGAGTACATTGTCATTTTAAGACCCTCTGAACCCTCATGAACATTGTTTTTAGGGGAGTTCAAAAATTCAAATGACAATATAACCATTGTTCAAGCATAGAGGATAAAATTACGAGCGTTTATATATATATATATATATATATATTTTTTTTTTTTTTTCACACTTTTACATTATTTGATTTATTTATTTTTTTTTTTTTTTTTTGTGAACAAAAGGTATTTTCTATACTAAAGGGGAGGAGGTGGCCTTTGTCTTACAATGGGCTAGCAATAATATGAGTCTAATTCGCATTTGGCGAGAATTGAATCTAAGACCTCTCACTTACAAGTGAAGAGGAATACTACTAGACCGTAATACTAAGTGACATTTTTTTTTAGTCCTCTTAATAACATTTTTCACAAGGCTTTTGAGGATTTTAGAAATCTAAATGAGGATGTTAATATACCCTTCATCAAAGCATAGAAGATGTGATAATCAACGTCTACATTTTTTTTTCTTCATATTTTCACACTTATAAATTAATTATTATGAATCTTTTAGTATGCTTTAGTATTTTGTAGTAAAAATCAAAACCGCACTGAACCAAATCATACACACCCCTAATTGTAATGTTTAAAACCACAAATCAACTATTTCTTCAGCGGGCACAAAACAATTTGTTTTTGTTAACCGACCCAACCCAATATATTTCGATTAGGTTGGTCAAGTTGGGCAATTGACCCATTAAAATGTCCACCTGTATTCACAACTGGCTATTGTGGTCTAAAACATGTTGCTAATATCGGCTCTATGATGCTTTTAAAATAATTGAAATCGTTTTGATGAAAATATTTTTGAAATCAATCATTAGTAGAAATTCGAGTAGATTCTGAAAAAATCACTTTAAATGCTTCATACAAGAAGTACATATCTAATACTTCTTCCAAAAAATACTTAAAATACTTTTGAAACTCAAAATCAATTTCATCAAAAGTGATTTCAGCTATTTTCATAACACTTCAATACGAATCCATACCTCTTGAGCTAGATGTACAATATCCTAAAGAGTACAATTTATGGCCAAACAATACTTTTCTTTATTTTTGCCACTTATTATTACATTTCAGGGACATTTACTTCCTTACGTGTGTGTGAGTGTATATATATTTTTTATTTATTTATTAAAATACACTTATCTTCTGTTTTTTTTTTTGGGAATATAAACTACAAATCGACGGACCATGGGCCATTGCAATAGATAAAATATTTAATTGATTTAAACCTCAGCTTATTTAAATTTTCTGTTAACGATATAAAAGGGGGTCGCTTGGCTTGGGATCTCGTTCATACTTATTAGCTCAAATTCCTGCTAACAGCCCTTTTATGGATGCGTTGCGTTCTTCTTTTCTGTGCACAATTTCTAACCTCAATCCAAACACAAGAAAATCACAACCTCCGAAGAGCACTAGTTCTCCATGCATACTACTATTAGCTATAGCAAGAAAAGCTAATGATAGTGATGATGATATTGCTCCAAGTACGAAGCGATGTGCAATGATCTTGCGATCTCTGGATGACTTCATAAAAAACTCCATAGAGCCACCACTACTCCGACCTTCATTGGACCCGATGCTCGTGCTCTCCGACAACTATGCTCCTATAACCGAAGAGCTTCCCCCAACCGAGTGCGAGCTGATACAAGGCTCCCTACCACCGTGCCTTGACGGTGCTTACATTCGCAATGGCCCTAACCCACAATTCCTTCCCCAAGGGCGGCCTTATCACCTCTTCGATGGCGATGGCATGCTTCACTCCATCAGGATCTCCCAAGGCCGAGCAATGCTTTGTAGCCGCTACGTCAAGACCTATAAATACACTGTGGAGCGCGAAGCCGGATATCCTCTCTTTCCCAGCATTTTCTCTAGCTTTAACGGCCTCCTTGCCTCCACAATGAACGTGGCTCTTCTTGCTGCTCGAATCATTGCTGGTCATCTCAATCTTGCTAACGGCTTTGGTGTGGCCAACACCAGTTTAATTCTCTTTGGCAACCGTCTCTACGCGCTTTGCGAGTCTGACCTCCCTTATGCTGTGCGGTTGACATCCAACGGAGATATTCAGACTATGGGGCGGCACCATTTTGATCAGAAGCTCTCCGAGGGCATGACAGCTCATCCGAAGATAGACCCCGAAACAGGCGAGACCTTTGCTTTCCGTTACAGACCAGTGCCTCCATTCCTCACCTATTTTCGCTTCAATGCAGACGGGACAAAGCACCCGGACGTGCCCATATTCTCTATGCGTCGTCCATCTATCATCCACGACTTTGCAATCACCAAGAAGTATGCCATATTTGTTGACATACAATTAACACTGGACCCCATCAAAATGATCACTACCGGTGGATCTCCAGTCGTTTTCGATCCGTCCAAAGTGACTAGGATCGGAGTACTTCCACGGTACGCAGTTGACGAGTCCGAGATGAGGTGGTTTAATGTTCCGGGATTGAACATTTTACACACCATTAACGCATGGGACGATGATCAAGAAGACGATCTTGATACGGATACTATCGTGTTGGTTGCACCAAATGTATTGTCTCCACAATACATTTTCAAGAGATGGGATCTCTTCCGCTCGTCTGTCGAGAAAATGAGGATCAATCTCAAGACGGGGATCGTAACAAGGCAACCAATCTCCGTAAGGAATATAGAATTCGGGATAATCAATCGTGCTTATGTGGGGAAGAAGAACAAGTTTGTGTATGGATCTGTCCCTGGAGAAACAATGCTCGCTGATGATCATTCAATACCAAAGTGTGCAGGGGTGGTGAAGTTGGATCTAGATGTATCGTCCGATGGGGGTGAGCGCACGGTGGCATGCAGGATGTACGGACCAAATTGCTACGGCGGCGAGCCTTTCTTTGTTGCTAGAGAGCCGGAGAATCCAAACGCGGAGGAGGATGATGGATACGTGGTGTCATTTGTGCACGATGAGAAGACAGGAGAATCAAGGTTCTTAGTGATGGATGCTAAGTCGCAACAGCTTGATATTGTGGCGGCTCTCAAGCTGCCCCGCCGGGTCCCGTACGGTTTCCATGGTCTCTTCGTGAAGGAAAGTGACCTACAAAAGTTGTACTAAATATAATTGCTGAATAGGATCTCACTAACAAAATAATACATGAGAGTTTACACTTTTAATATTATCAGAATTTTTTGTGATAAAACTCAACACCTATTAACATATTTTTAAGTTAGTATAATATCGATGATGTTAGACGAATCATGTTGGTCATATAAAGTTTATCAAATATTACTATCTCAGCTTGTCCACAAGTGTGTACCTTCTATGACTGAGGTTTGGCTTCAATGAACTCTAGAAATGCACTTAATTATTGTTGTAGCAGATCGAATCCGAAATAAACCTGTTGATGCCAAATGTTGGACGAAGTTACCGGATACCGTATATCATACAAAAGTACAAAAACAAAATGATGTATTGTGGTATAAGAAGAAAGGCTTTTTTTTTATTAGAACTCCGCATAATATTAAATACATTGCACATTAAAATTTAATATTTAATTACTCATATACCTTAATATGCAATGATAATTGCGCCCTCTTAAAGATTAAAAAAAAAATCTACGTACACCCAAAATCACTTTTAACATGTATATTCCAAGATTATTTATCTTATTCGACTCTTAAAACCATGCTCACTCTCCATTGTTGAATAAAACCTAATAAAACTACAAACAAGTTAATTAAAAAGAATTACAAAACTAATTGAAAAAAAACCCCGACCACCCCCACCATCTTTCCCGACCATGCATCTTTAAAACCCACTTGATATCTACGTTGTGCGGAAGCAAACCAACGGTTCCCACACACATGAGTCGGTATTGCCGATTCCCTTTACTTTAGCCACCAAGGAGCAATGGGTATGGGGTTTTACCAAATGGCCTCGGCCATATGTGTGTGTGGTACCATTGCTTATGAACTACTACATGGCTCTCCTTTTAATTGATGTGGAACAAAGTGTGGCTATAATCTAAGCCACCAAATTCTAACAATCTCCATCTTGGCGTGATTCTAGCCATCGACAAATTGACGTTTCATGATCCAAATGCAAATGGAGCACCACCTTGACCAAATGCAACCAAATTCCAAATGAGCTCTTCAAATTCAACGATCGTGAGAGTCACCAATCCTAAGCGTTATCTAGCCTTTGATACCAATTGTTGTGCTAGGATAACACCAAACCAATTGGAAACCAACTCAAGCTAACCCATAAGAGATATAACAAATGAAATGCAAGAACAAAATAGAAAAACACCAAGATTTAACGAGGTTCCTTAACAGTCAGTGTAACTGGAGTACGTCCTAGGAGCAGTAGGAGCTCACCAATAATCCACTATCAACCAAATGGGACTGCTTACAAAGTGTAGGCTTTCTCACAACCCAAAATCCTAATACACCCAATAGTTCTCATTCACCAAAGAATCAAATAGAGAAAGAAATATAGTGAATAAGTTCCTCTCCTATATACAGCTCAAAGATATTACAACAATTACTAATCTGATGGACGGTTGCTAACCAAAGAGGGTAGCATCTTTCTTCTCTTCTTCAACAATGAGGTTGTCGGCTCCTTTTGTCTTTCTTATGTCTACTATAAACAAAAGGCAGCAGCTACTGCCAATATTAACCCTAGCCATACATGTGGTTTTCACATGGGCCAAATAAAAAGGTCCCTTCAATGGGATAATGGGCTTCACTTGAGGCCCACTGAAATTTGGCCACACATACAACAATTTCTACCTTGGCCAAATTCCCGAAAGTACCACAACAAGCCAAACTAATATAATTAGCAATCACTCAAAAATCACTTTCAAATACTAGCAGGAAAAGAAATCATGCTGAACCAAATGCTCCAAAACTCATACTACTCAACATCTTCTTTACATAGGCAAAATGTGAGCCAAGTTCAAGCAATGAACAAACTTGGCTATACCAACCACATTAGTTAACATATTAGCGGGGTTGTCTTTAGTTGGAACCTTGTGGAGAATGATCTCCCATTCAACAACTTCACGCACAAAGTGATAACGCACATTTATGTGCTTAGTCCTCACATGATGAACCAAATAGTTAGCCAAATAAATGCCACTTTGACTATCAAAATGCACATCTACCTACTTCTGATCAACCCCAAATCTCTGTTAAGTCTGTGTATCCAAATGGCCTCCTTTGTAGCTTCAACAACTGCCACGTATCCAGCCTCTGTAGTAGACAAGGCAGTAAACCATTGCAAAATAGACTTCCAACAAATTGGCCCCTTGGCCATAGTAAACACATAGCCTGTAGTAGACTTCCTTTTATCCAAATCACCTGCATAATTTGAATCAACATAACCAACTGCAAAGTTGTCAAAGTTATCCTCTTAAAGCATAAACCAACATCTTTAGTACCATGAAGATACCTAATATCCACTTAGTTGCATGCCAATGCTCTTTACCAGGATTGTGTATATATCAACTCACCATACTAACTACATGAGGAATAACCGGTCTAGAGCATACCATTGCGTACATCAAACTATCAACCAAATTAGCATATGTATATTTTGCATTTGAAACTTCTCTTTATCGGTTTTAGGACATTTTAGAGAACTCAATTTAAAATGAGGAGCCAAAAGGGTACTAATCGGTTTGGTTGAATCATGAACTCCAAATTTTCGAATCAACTTTTCAAGGTATTGATTTTGATTTAAGCACACCAAACATTTTTGTCTATCTCTAGTGATCTCGATGCCAAAGATCTTCGCTTCTCCAAGATCTTTTATCTCAAACTCATTCTTCATTTGCTTTTTCAACATCTCAATCTATTCTTTGAGGCAATCAACATATCATCAACATATATCACCAAATAAACAAAAGACCCATCTTGCAACTTCCTAATGTACACACAATGGTTTTATTGACCTCTAGAATAATTTTGGCCTCTCATAAATTTATCAAACCTCAAATACTATTGTCTTGGAAATTGCTTCAAGCCATAAAGTGATTTCTTCAACTTGCAAAACAAATGCTCATTCCCTTTTACTTTATACCCATCCGGTTGACACATATAAATCTCTTCATTCACATCCCCATGCAGGAAAGATGTCCTCACATCAAGTTGCACAAGCTCAAGATCATATTATGAAACAAAAGCTAACATAATACGAATTAAGAAGTGTTTCACAACTGGAGAAAAGATTTCAATGTAGGCAATGCCCTCCTTTTGTGCATACCCTTTAGCAACTAATCTTGCTTTGAATCTCACATTACTTTTCCCGTCAACATCTTCTTTCGTAGTATACACCCATTTGCAACCGATAACTTTTTTACCCTAAGGCAATTTAGCTAACTCCTAGGTCTAGAGAGAATTTATCTCATCACCCATGGCATTGCACCACTTCTCATTTTTTCACTCTCAATTGCTTCCTCAAAATTGGATGGAATCTCATTAGTGATAATAGGAAGAGCAAAAGCCAAACTGGCTTCGTAAAATTTCTCTTTCTTTTATTCTTGGCAATAGACTCTAAAGGTGAAACTTGATCTTCATCTTGAATAGAATCTTCAAATTTCAACTTCTACAACATCCTCTTAGTCTTTCACTTCTTCACCTGTAGTAGCTCCGACATTAGTGAGAATAGGATTTGAAGTACTAGAGGCAACTTTCTTAAGCTCCACTTGTTGAACATCTTTTAGATTCATCTAGAAGTCTTTGAATATACTTTCTTCATCAAATGTCACATCTCTATTGATTACAAGCTTTTTCATCCTTGGGCACCACAACCTATAACATTTGACACCACTACTAAAACCAAGAAAGATAGCTTTTTCGCTATAAGATCAAGTTTATTTTCAGTTACATGAAAATAAGCAAGTGAACCAAAAATACGAATATAATCATAATCATAACAAGGTTTTCTAGTCCATACCACCATTGATGTCTTACCTTGAAAAACGTTGAGGGTAAACGGTTGATGACATGACATGCATAAGTAAATTCCTCTGCCTAAAATCACTTGCTCAAATCCAACTAAGATAGCATACATCTAACCTTCTCAAGGAAGGTTCGATTCAATCTTTGTGCAACTCCATTTGATTATGGAGTTCCCTTGACACTGAAATGCCTCATAATCCCTTCCTCTCTTCAAAATAAAAGATCATGGAGACAACTTCGACGGTGTCAAATTAGTGGATGCGAACCACTTCAACTTCCGTGGATGCAAACCACATCAAATTGATTGGTCAAATTCCCATTAATTACTAAAGTAGTCAAAATGGCACAAAGCTGCTCTAAATCCCAAATGGCATAAAGCCACACTCAAGTTCACAATTTGGAACTATGTTGGTTTGATCCCATAAAGGGTACGTAGGCAGTGTAGTACAAAATTCTAGATGCAACCGCAACCACAATCAAACCCAAATCCAAGCGCACAAATACTCTTATTTTCTTCATCAAGCTCATGGAGATTCAACAAGCACAACAAACACGTGTCGATTTATCCATACCCAAAGCCGAAGATCACCCACCACGTGAAACTCCTAGTGGCCCCGTTTTGTTCAATACCAAGCATTGACGGTCCTTGAATCGACATCTACAATGAGGGACTTCAAAACACAGTGGTCAAAGTACATTCACTATGCGAAAGGACTTCAAAATACACCTTCTACACGTGACAAGCACATGTATACGCTGCTCTTTGAAGTGAGGACATTTATAGACATCAAAATTTCGGTGAAAATAAATGTTTACCAACACATTAAAATTTTGACATGCCAGGGCATACGTGGCATGCACCATGTGTCTCACAAATCGTACACATGGCATGTGAGTCTGTGACTCATCAATACCGAACGAGTCATCAAGAGGGACACATGTCAATGTTTGGCAAAAAGGAATTATTTGATTTTAAGTTAAATTAAATCAAATATTAATTGATAAAGTCAAATCACAAACCCAGCCACAAATCAAGTCTTGGTTCTTTCATCAATTAATCAAGGCCAAATCCATTTGTAGGCAAGCTCACAATCAAGGTCAACTAATCAAGCCCACAATCACACCCTGTAATAACCCATCCCTAATTTTACG